GTTAAGGTTCTAGTTAGAAATCTTTCAGAGAAAGTTAATATGAGGTCAAATTCAGATAAACTCTAACATGATAGTAAGAAAGTAAATGCTTCCGAAACATCAGTTTAACTTAATCTAAAATTTTGGACCATAGCCACTTAATTCAATTTCAAAACTTAACTTGTCATTGAGAAATCGGACCTAGGTGGATGGAATTGTAGTTAAGGTACAGATAAGTCAATGCCCAATGTTTTTCTAATTAAATTGCAAATTTATTTTCTGTGCATTTTGGCGACAAGTGCCAAACCACAGGTATTGGCAAACACACAGATATAGACATATAGGCAGAAGCGGCTACAGATACAGATACAGATACAGATTCAGATACAGATACACACGAGCAACTGGTTGAGATGCGCTCAAAAATGACTTCAATCCGCTCGGATGGTCGTCTCGGGTTCGTTTTGATTTGGCTTATAAATCGGAGGGAGCGGGGATTGCGACTATGAAATGTCCAAGATGGCCTTCGGTGATTTTTGCAGCGATTAAAAACCGATGACGATGTGGTCGCCGCTGGTTTACTTAGCATTCAAAGTGGCGCAAAGAGATTTATACGAATTGTTGCGACAATTTCAACTCTTTTTTTTTCCCTGCTGCTCTTGACTCATTCAATTGAAATTCTTGAACAATGTTATTGTCTTTTAATGATATTGTTGTTGTTCATCTCGACAGTTGATAGCCAACACTTTCGACCTTTTGCCACGGATAGTTCTATATCGGCATCTGCATCTGCATCTGTACAATACATGGCTGACACAGATTCAGTTTACATTTAATTGTGTGGCGTTATGGGGTTTTAATAGATACGAGATTGGAACATATCCCCAGAGCTTAGGTGCTAGCCATTTTGTATGCCTGGCTAGACTTATGTATGTTCGCGTCGAAGATTTCATTAAATCTGATTTAAAGACCAACAGTTAACTGGATATTATTTACAATTGTGCGATTTGTTTAAAGACTCAATATAAATGAGAATGACTGACACGATCATCATCATGTTGGGTGCTAATTGATTTGAAGTTTCCCTGAAAGGATTTGTTTTTTTAGAATCTTTATGGGTTACGCTTACCTCGGAACAAATCATAATCAAACTTATTTCTTTGACAACCTGAACATAAAGACGAATTCTTCCAAAATTAAATTATATATTATGCATTAAAGAGCAATTTAATATTTAATTATAAAGTTTACTGGTAGCCTTTAGCATTAAATGTAAACCTTTTTGAAAAAATAAAAAAATACTTTTTATAACAATTAAATTTCCAAGAAATGTTCAGCCAATTAAGCCATTATAAAGATCAGATTTTATCAATTGATTCCACGAAACATTACCGTAAATATTGCCCTAAATGAGAATTGAATATTTTCCTTTCTTGGCATGTCAAAAGTCACGTAAAGATTTTTATTTCTCCCACATTTATAATATTCACTTCTTTCTATACTTCTCTTTTTTTTTTATTAATAAACACACCTTTTTTTGTGAGGCAGCAGACATGGCCTGAAACAATGCCTCCGCCCAGAGAGCCAGAGTTCCCAGATCAATATGAAATATCATTCCAAATATGGCCTTGGGTCATTTAGAAAGCAATTCATCGAAGACGCGGCTCTGGCTGAAGTCTTCGATCTGCAAACAAAGAAAATAAAAATAGAAATAAAAAATGCTGAATTAAACTACCGTGGGCTACTGCCAAAAATGCTACCGGGAAGAGTGCGCGATAAACATTTAAGATTACCCATTTTAACCATTGTCTGGCGATGGCCCCAAAGCAAATTACATTAAGAAATTTGTATTTTGGGTTGGGTATGCATTTTTACAACATTTTTTTTTGGGGCTGCATCTTCCCCGAAAACTGCGATTTTCTAATTGTTTTTTTTTCGGGACCCGAGTCGAGGGAGATTTTCTGGCCGGCTCGTTAACAAATTTATTACAATGCTGAGGAGCAAAAAAAATAAAAAACCTGGCCATTGCATAAGCTTGCTAATTTTTTTTTGTTTCGTTTTTCTTCTTTTTATATAATATCGTTAATACATATTATTTGGCAAGCTCAGAGCTCAGGCTCTGTACTTTGAACTGCGAACTCGCAATGAAGGCAGAGGCACCAGGCACTAGGCACTAGGCACTGGGGACCTGATCAATGGACCTGGACATGTAGGCATCTGCCGAAATTGACAGGGTGGGAGGATTGGGGCATTGGGGGGAAGTCTCTTGTGCAGTGACCCAAAGAAATGGTAATGCGAGTCGGATCGTCTTCGCTTTTCGGCCGGGTCAAAATGGCCCATGCCCGGCCACTCAGTCATTGAGTCAGTGGGTGCCACAGTCAAAGTCTACGTCTACGTCTCCGTGTGAAGATCTGTGAGAAGTATACAAATGGGTCTCGGGTTCGGTTCAGTCTCGAGCCGAAGGAGTTTACTCATTTTGGGGCAGGTTTTCTGCGCTTTTTCTTGACTGCAACTTGGCGGCTTCGATGCTATCGCCTTTGAAATCCACGACAGCGACAAAGCCCAGACTCATGGCCTAATAGACATGGAGGAGTCCCCAGTCTCCAGTCTACAGTCCCCAGTCTGCAGTCCCCAGTCTTCAGTCCCCAAAGCAAACTAACTTCCTGCAGTACCTTTGATGATGATGCTTCGTCTGGGCCTAGACTTTCACTATTAATTGTCGATTTTCATCAATTGTTGTTCATTGTTGTACTAGCCATCTTTGTTGCTTAATGGGTAATGGGGTTGGTATTTAAAGTTGTGCAAAAAAAAATAAACAGGCACAAAACTAAAGAAGAGAAGAAAACCCAATTTCTGTTTCATATCGAAATTGGATCTATTACTCAATGAGGCGACCGAGTGAGAGACAATTTGATTGATTTATGCAATACCCAGCGACTAGTTGGACCTTTTTCCATTGTCAGTTAATTGCTCAATGCAAAAGAAGATGCACTTATATCATGGGCAATTTGTGGGCCCTAAACAGCCTTGTAAGTTTTAAGGAATTCCAACTCATTTGCATATCGGTTAGCATTTGACATACACAGAAAAGTACTTAACCAAGCTATCAAACCAAGCTATTTAATGGACGCTCACAACATTTATTATTATCTAGTGCAATATAAAAACTCTTTGCAGTCTTCTGGACCTAAACATTTTTCCTAACGCAATGGATAAGTTCCAAAATTATTTTACTAGATGAATTTCAATACATATCTACATTCTCTGCAACTTTTTTCGAATATTTGGCACTTTCAAATGATTGGCTCAGCTTGTATGATTATCAGTTTGAATTCTTGGTTGTTGCCAAACGCATCATTCAATTATCTTAAAGGCAATTTATGCGTATGGCAAGCATAACAATTTAATTGTTAATTACCTTTATTGACGGAAAAACTGGAAATTTTAATAGAATCAAAAAATTGCTTCCAAATTGCAAATGCTTGTATGTTTAAGTGATTATAAGAATTTTAATTACTTTATAAGATTGTTTGTTTCATAAAAGCGAAACCAATTTTAAAATCAATTTAATTTTTAATTTTTATTTCCCACAATCCAAAAAAACATTATTTTGTGCAATATTTCAAATTCACCTATCATGAATATTTATTAATTGTATATATTTTATGTATGTCTTTATCTATCCATCTTTTTTTGCATTATTTTTTTATGACTGCCCCCTTTGAACTGTGTCCACGTTTTCTGTTTTGTTTTTCGGTTTTTGGTTTTGTCTAAGACAACTGACACGACAGCCGCAGCAACATTTATTAATTTGTCAAATTCAAGCCAAGACAACACACGTTAGGAAATATTACAACAACAGAAAATCTAGTGGGCTATGATTATTATTTTCGTGTTGCCGGTTTATAACTAATTCTCGCAGATAAAAAGTGTCAAAAGAGTCAGGCGGCCACAAGTCAGCAGAAGTTTTGGAAAAATCTTTGAAAAACGATTAAATGAAAAATATATACACAAAACATCGGTTGATTAGCGAAATATGAGCATGTGTGAATAATAGGTTTTTCGAGGATTGTCTGATGATTATGACTACTTTAATTAATGGTTAATAGAAATCGCTGACAGTTTATGAGTTACCTAAAATTTGGGTTATTTTGTTAATGCTTAATTTCAATGCTTAACATTTTTTGCTCCCTATTTTTTTGTATTTATCTAAAGAATTGTTAGTGCAAAAATTAAACGATTATGACAATGTAACTTAGTTAACAGAATGCGGATTAATTTTGAATAATATGAGGGTGCTCCCATAATGTATTGTATTTATTTATATTTATTTTTCAAGAATTCCAACTTCAATTTCCAGTATAAATTATGCAAATTATGAAAAATCATTTCGCAGTGGCGCAGCGAACTTTTGCTTGCCTTTTGCAATGCGAATCAGCCAAAATATTTATTATAATCAAAAGCCGAACACCCGCAACGTGGCCAGACCACGGAACCGTGCAGCATCGGACAACACAATTTATTACATTTTATGTGCCGCATTAACCGAACGATGGAGATGTGATCCTCGTTTAGGTTTGTTTCTGGCGTTTTTTCACCGATTTTCTGGTGGCCACAGCAACATCTTTGTTGCAACGTGAGCTTGCCTCTTGGCCAACCCCGCGACACAATGAGGAGGTGTCTCGGCCTCTTGGGATATACAAAATATATCCATATATTTATCTATGTGGACAGCCGAGCCTGGGACTGAGACAACTAAAAAGACTGAGACTGAGACTGAGCATTTCTAATTAAGACATTCGATACGGCGGCTTGCGTGTGGAACGCGAGACAATTGGGCAACGAACAGCGGCAACATTAGCACGGCAGCAATATGAATCTGCCCATATCATCGCAGATTTGGCATTTCACCAGCCATTTAGCATTAAGCTCACCCCTGAGACTCCTCCGTGTGGCATTCATGCCCGCTTGACTTTGAGTATTCTAAATTGCTAAAGACCTTTCCTCGATTATCCTTGCAGGTGCAGCAGCAATAACAGCAGCAGCCACATCACCCACTGAGTCGAGGAAAATAAAACCACTCGTTGCGGGGAAATTGAAAAGCGAGAAAACTGATAGCAACTGCGACAGCCAAGCAGCAGCAGCAGCAGCAACAGTAGCTGCCAGCACCTCGGCAACATCTGCGACAGCAACGACAATTGCTGTTACAGCAGCAGCAACATCGGCAGGAACAGGAGGAGCTGCAACTGCAACATCAACGGCAGCGGTGACAGCAGCAATCCACACACAAACTAAAATCAGCCAACTGAGGCTTAATAACCAAGCGACAACAAGCATGTTACTTTTGCAACCCAATGTAAGTTTACAAAAAGATATTTTATTTGTAAGCTTCTTGCAGCAAAAAAAAAAGGTAACTAAAAACCAAAGCATAAGAAGATATTCTTACTTATCATCAAGTTATTTTTTGTACATGTACGCAATAATACCAATATAACCAATACCGAAATAAAAACAATAAATCGATGAAAAAAAAACTTATAAATTAAACATATTTCTGTGCCAAAATGTTTAGTACCTCAAATGCACGTAAAGCATTAATATTGAGTTTATAATTTAAAGATCCTTTTTTTGTAGAATAATATAGAAATATTTTATCGCAGACAACTTAGACAATCAAAAGTGAACTAATGCAATAAACAGTCTTTAAATAACTAAAAAAATATATTGTTTAGAAGCATAAAACCCTCTTCAAAATATTTTCATAATTTGTAATTGCCCCTGCTGAGATCAAATTTCCCAAACATAAATTCACCAAACATAAGGTGTGCAAAAATCTATGCAAATTTGGCAAGCCCAAAATGAATGGCCACGCTAATTGCCAGCTGCTAGGAGGTGACTCCTCTCGAGTGGAGTCAAGTTGCCGCGGTGGTGAGGTGAGGAGATCAATTGCAGGCACAAAAACAACAATTAGACATCTATTGTTAGGTGAGATATGTTGGGAAAACATTTTGGCATAAGCATAACCAATTAGGAAATCATCAGCGAGGAGTTTTCCGCGACTTAGGGGTTGCTATTTTAACCAAAGAACCAATGGCAGTTGCTGGGGGAAATGCGCATGTCGCATGCCGGAAAAGCTAGACTCCACCCTTAGGGCTAGGATATCTAGACGGGAATGACGAGCTCACTAACTCATTCGACTGCCGACTGTCTTTCGTTGCAGAGCTCCTTTAGTTCATTGTCGCCCTTCGATAATTTCTCCACGCAAACCGCTACGACGACCACCACAACGTCGCCATCGGCAGCTGGACACCACCAACACCACCACCTCCTCCATCAGCAACATCATACCCAGCAGCAGCAGCAACAGCAACAGCAGCAGCAGCAACATCTGCAACAGCAACACCAACACCAGCAACTTGTGAGCCCGCAGCAGCACCTGCTGAAGTCGGAATCGCTGCTCTCCCATGAGGAGGATCAGTTGATTAGCAACCTGACCGACGCGTCTGTGGTTTCCCACAGCGAACTCTTCTCGGATCTCTTCTTCCCCTCGGACTCGAACAACTCCCTGCTCTCCCCGACCACCAGTGGATATCCGGACAATCCCGCCGAGGACCTGACCAGCTCCATTGAGAATCTCACCAAGTTGACTTGCCTGCGGGACAAGCGATTGTCCTCGATTCCCGAGCAGCAGTTGAGTTCCGAGCAGGAGCAACAACTCTGCCTGCTGAGTCTGCGTTCCAGCAGCGATCCGGCTATTGCATTGCACGCCCAGCAGCAACAGCAACAGCAGCAGCAACAGCAGCAGCAACAGCAGCAGCAACAGCAGCAGCAACAGCAGCAACAACAGCAGCAACAGCAGCAGCAACTCCAGCTGATCTCGCCCATCGGTGGGCCATTGTCCTGCGGCAGCAGTTTGCCGAGCTTCCAGGAGACCTACTCCCTGAAGTACAACAGCAGCAGTGGAAGCAGCCCCCAGCAGGCCTCCTCCTCCTCCACCGCCGCCCCCACGCCCACTGACCAGGTGCTGACCCTCAAGATGGACGAGGACTGCTTCCCGCCGCTTTCCGGCGGCTGGAGTGCCAGTCCGCCCGCCCCCTCGCAACTGCAACAGTTGCACACCCTGCAATCCCAGGCGGCCCAAATGTCGCATCCCAACAGCGGCAACAACAACGGCGGCAACAGCGGCAATAACAACAGTGGTGGCTACAACTACCATGGGCACTTCAATGCCATCAATGCCAGCGCCAATCTCTCACCAAGCTCCTCGGCCAGTTCCCTCTATGAATACAATGGCGTCTCGGCCGCGGACAACTTCTACGGACAGCAGCAACAGCAGCAGCAACAACAGCAGCAAAGCTACCAGCAACATGTAAGTGTAACTATAATAACGAAACAATTTAAATACTAAAATAAAATTATTAAAATTAAAATTATCTTTTAAATGATATTTCAATCGAGCGTGTTCGATATAGCGAATTTACTTGCTATTTTTTGATTTTTTTTTTATTGATTTGTTAAATCAGAACATTATTGAAAATATTTAAAAATTATATTTTTTAATAAGTTTATTGACTTGGTTGTGTTGAATAGACACTTTTAACACTTTCAATTCAGCCGTTTCAATTATGAAATATTACTTAATTCCTTAATTTTTTTATCTTTTTATACCCTTGCAGAGGGTATTATAATTTTGGTCAAAAGTGTGCAACGCAGTGAAGGAGACATCTCCGACCCTATAAAGTATATATATTCTTGATCAGGATCACCTCCTGAGTTGATATAGCCATGTCCGTCTGTCCGTCTGTCCGTCTGTCCGTCTGTCTGTCCGTCTGTCTGTTTCTACGCGAACTAGTCTCTCAGTTTTAAAGATATCGAATTCAAATTTCATAAGGATCGGCCGACTATATCCTATAGCTGCCATATAACTGATTGATCGGAAATGCCATAACTTTGGTGTTTGTAAAGTTAGGAAGTTGGGATTTTCTATGGGTGTTATATTTGGCCAGCCAATCCGACCTACCAAATTTCATAAGGATCGGCCGACTATATCCTATAGCTGCCATATAACTGAACGATTGGAAATGCCATAACTTTGGTATTTTTAAAGTTAGGAAGTTGGGATTTTTTATGAGTATTAAGAATGCATCATATGAATAATTTTGGAGAATATAATTTACAGAGTATTCTGCAAGGGTATATCAACTTCGGCTCCGCCCGAAGTTAGCTTTCCTTTCTTGTTTTTTATCAAAATAACTAATACATTTTTGAAAAGTTAACTAATCACGAATAACTTTTGTTTACCCCCCAGAACTACAACTCGCACAATGGCGAGCGTTACTCGCTGCCCACGTTCCCCACGATTTCCGAGTTGGCGGCGGCCACAGCGGCCGTGGAAGCGGCGGCGGCGGCCACCATCTCATCGCCTTCGGTGGGCGGTCCTCCACCCGTTCGCCGGGCATCGCTGCCGGTCCAGCGAACCGTCTCCCCCGCCGGCTCATCGGTTCAGAGTCCCAAGCTGGCCAAGATCACGTTGGGCCAGAGGCACACCCATGCCCATCCACTCCAGCTTAGCTCGGCTCCCAACTCGGCGGCCAGTTCGCCGGCGAGTGCGGATCTCCAGGCGGGTCGCCTGCTCCAGGCTCCGTCGCAATTGTGCGCCGTTTGTGGCGACACCGCCGCCTGTCAGCATTATGGAGTGCGAACCTGCGAGGGCTGCAAGGGATTCTTTAAGCGGACCGTCCAGAAGGGCTCCAAGTACGTCTGCCTGGCGGACAAGAACTGTCCGGTGGACAAGAGGCGTCGTAATCGCTGTCAGTTCTGTCGATTCCAAAAGTGTCTGGTCGTGGGCATGGTCAAGGAAGTGGTGCGCACGGATTCGCTAAAGGGACGACGGGGTCGATTACCCTCAAAACCGAAATCTCCCCAGGAATCGCCGCCATCGCCGCCCATTTCGTTGATCACGGCCCTGGTGCGCAGTCATGTGGACACCACACCGGATCCCTCGTGTCTGGATTACACCCACTACGAGGAGCTGTCGATGAGCGAGGCAGACAAGGTGCAACAGTTCTACCATCTGCTGACCAGTTCCGTGGACGTGATCAAGCAGTTTGCCGAGAAGATTCCCGGCTTCTTTGATCTCCTGCCGGAGGATCAGGAGCTGCTCTTCCAGAGCGCCTCGCTGGAACTGTTTGTCCTGAGGCTGGCCTACCGGGCCAGGAGCGATGATACCAAGCTGATCTTCTGCAACGGCACCGTTCTGCATCGCACCCAGTGCCTGCGATCCTTCGGCGAGTGGCTCAACGACATCATGGAGTTCAGCCACAGCCTGCACAATTTGGAGATCGACATCTCCGCCTTCGCCTGCCTCTGCGCCCTCACTCTGATCACAGGTGGGTAAATTACTTTTAAATAAGAGATGGATGTGCCCGGAAATGGGCAAAATTTGATTTTATTTAATTATTGAGAGCGTCAAAAATATATCGAGTTGTTATTTTATTTTAATAAGAAAAAGACCATTTTTCATTTGACTTACAGATAAAATATAACTTAAATTATAAATATAAATATACCTCTAAAGATATCTGAAGATAATTCCCAAATTTGTTTTAATTTCTTATTAGTAGTAAATACAACATTGCGTAACCGTTTTGCTCTAAAGATTTTTAAAGTAAAGCCTAGAGAACTCAAAATATTTTCATAAAATATTTTGTTGTGTATTAAAACATTAACATTAAATGATTATATATATTTTTGCCATGTTCACTTTTTTTGTTTAGGACAAAGTTTTTGTAAAAGCAATGTAGTTGTTGAGAAAATTAATTAATTAACCAACATATTTAGTTTAAAATTGAAATGTCTTGTAATAAAATTAATATTTCCAAAATTGATGGCTTATTTATTCTTCAGAGCGCCATGGCCTGCGGGAGCCGAAGAAAGTGGAGCAGCTGCAGATGAAGATCATTGGCAGTCTGCGGGACCATGTCACCTACAACGCCGAGGCCCAGAAGAAGCAGCACTACTTCAGCCGGCTGCTGGCCAAATTGCCCGAGCTGCGATCCCTCAGCGTCCAGGGATTGCAGCGGATCTTCTATCTGAAGCTGGAGGATCTGGTGCCGGCGCCAGCCCTCATCGAGAACATGTTCGTCACCACATTGCCCTTCTAGAGGCGATCAAGCGTATCATTACAACATTGCTTCCTTAAACTAGCCCTAAGCCATGCCCCCTTAAGATATAGGAAATGACCCAACTAGCTTTAGTAGAACCCTGAAATAAATAAATCTCACAAAAAGAAAACCGAAATAAAATGCAGACCCAGGCCATATCTATAGAGTAGTGGTAGATAGTTTGCTGGACAGCCCGGCCCCTTCGATAATTACGGACATGAATATTTGAGAAAGGGGTTTTTCAGTGTAAAAAACCAGCTCCTGCGTGACTCGTCAGCGCTGGAAATTACAACTTGTTGACGTTAATTGTTAAATTGTTTAATTTCAACTGTCAAAATCAATGGACGGACACGCAATGGAAACACTTTCTATCCCCGGACTCAAAGCTTGCTCAATATTCAGCACTAACGGACGGACGGACAGAACGCTCTCTTGCCTTTTTGCTATCTTCTAGTCAATTGTTTTAGGCAAGAAAAAAAATAAATAAAAGCGTGCAGCATAGTGTTATATAATTTATACCTTAGACTAGTAGTTCTCTTCAAGAATAACCCAAAATAAGTTCCACAAATTGGAATACAACATTTGAAAATTAAATACCCAACTATTTCCTTAAAATTTCTTTTAAAAATTGTCAATCTATTGCCAATTTGTGGAAATCTACTATCATATCATATAGCAAAGCCATGCTTGCCCTTAGCTAATATATATTAAAGACCCGCATAAATTTTGATAACCCAACCAAGTATTTCCGTTAAAACCTAGACTAAGGCTCCTAATAGTTTTAGGCTAAGACTTTTCTGTTCGATTTATCAATGCACCAAATAGTGCACAATGAGAGTTTAAGTACCTTTTTGTGATGATTGTGTCTGACACAGAGAGAGTTGCACACAAACACACAAGCTAGACCATAAGCTTAAATATATATATATATATGAAATAATCTGTAGAGTAAGCCTAAGTATTCGGTAATCCAGAACCCTTGTATATCCGTAGTTTGTACGTTCCAAACGAGAGAAAAACTTTATTTAATCTTAAACCACTCCAACTAAGTTCTCAAAGAAACGCAAATGGATCGTTGGATCCTTCTCTCTATATGTGTGTGTTATTTCGATAGAAAACCCCTCTATGTGATTTTGTGATAGATTGGCATTGAACTCTATATATATTTATATATACGTCTATAATATATATACACGCATAAATATATATTTTTATGTCTAACTTTTGTATGGTTTATTTTATACGTACCACCTTTCTTTGATAACAAAAAGTAAGAAATAAAATGATCGTTAGATAGCAAATATTTCAAATGTATGTTATGAGGAATTTTCAAAGTACAGCCTTTAGCAACTTTCCAATTAACGTTTGTATTAACGAAAGACATTTTCTATGTGTAAAATTCAAGACTTCTATAACTAAATGTAAACTAAAAAGCAAAAACACAAAAACCAATGTGAATAACATATCTCTTCAAGCTTTCGAATGCACGGAACACGTAGAACCGAAACCCAAGTGTTACTAAATCTATTTAATATATTGGCATACCAGGACGAGTAATAAATTCGCAGTAACTATACAATTTAGATAGATCATTAATAAATTATTGTACATGTAGCACATCAAATGTTCAACAACTAGATTTTGTACTATCTTTAAAAGAAGAACTTAGGCCAAGCTAAACTAAGTATAAACCATGATCTACATGCGGCTAAGCTGGAGCTATAACATAATTGGGTTGATTTAAAATAAATGGGACATTTTCAATTTTTGTTTGTTTAAGGTATGGATGCACTAATATTTTTTCTAATCAAATATATAGATTACCCTTAAAATTTCAAATAAAATATAAATACAAATTCACAAAGTTCAGAAATTGAATACTAGGAAAGAGAATTTCAAAGAGACCCGATTCATTTGAGTTCACCCACCTCAAACACACATCCTAAGGGAGTTGAGAAGTTAGAGCAATATTTCATAAGGAAAAAGCACATTAAATTAACTAAAAACATAGCTAAACTATACCTGAACTTGTAACGGTTAGGAGCGATAATAAAACAGGATTAAACAGGAACAGTAAGGTGACCAAAATAGTTTGAAACGAGACGTTAGATAGGTTCGGGTTCGAAACCCTCAAAGCGATGCCATTTTTTAGCCGTTACAACAATGAATACATTGGATATCAATCATGCACATGAATATGAATATTATAAAGATATATCTAGCTATAGGAACCTACTTTGTACCTACACAACATGGAAACATCAAACCTACATACATATTTACACATATATTTTGAATAGAGCGACAACTTTTACAAGTTACTTTTGGCACAATAGCTATATATACATATATTGCTGGATATGGCCATACCGGAGCGAGCATATACATATATATTTTGGTTTATTGTTCTTTTGTAATTTTATAAATGCATACATATATACTACGTGAATGTCAAGTGTGGATTCATATTTTTGAGATACAGTTACAAAATGAAACAAAAACCGTAAAACGTGAAATTTTTCGATGAAACGATTTTAAATGAGAACTTTTTAATATTGCTATTAAAATGATATATACACATTAATATATATTTTACTATGTAACAGATAGGATTAAACTAGAAGCAGCGCATAAAGCTTTATACAAAAAAAAAATGAAAAGAAAAAGCAAAAGAAATTAGCACAATTAAATTTATAAAGCTAACTAGACGTTTTTCGAAAGATAATGTTATTCGTAATAGAGCGCGTCTATTGTTGCAACAGACGCTATATCCCCAATTCGCCCAACCACACAACAGATAACTTAAGCTATATATCCAACCCAATTATGCGCCTACTACTAGCGATGAGCAGAAAGAGAGGTGAAACCTAAAGACGCTATAACATATATCTATCTGATAGATGAGTACCGATGCTATATGGCCCATTGTGTAATTTTAATCTTGTTTGATCGTTTCATTTACCAGTTAAGTATCCAAAACAGTTCGCATGTGAGTGTGTTGAAACAACATTTAACTTGCAATTCAATTAAATCTGCAATACGATACCCAGCAAAGCGAATCATTTCATTTCAATTTAAATTTACATTTGAATTAAATAAAGATGTAAGCCCAAAACAAACGTTTTTTCTATATCTGTCTTTTGAGCAAATTAGTTATACGAAAAACCAAACCGTATTTACATAAATGTATACAAAACAAATCGTATATTTTCATTGGTTTGAAATAAATACATAAAACAATTTAGTATTGGATATTTTTTGGGAAATGGAAGCTGGGTTTAAATATGTTGTCTTTTTTGGTGGTTAATGGTGTCTTAAGATAAGCCTTTGTGTTAATAAAAATTTGTATTTTAGGATGTTAGTTAATATATTTTGTAATTATAAACATGATTGCTGTATTTGATGTCCAACCAAAGATATTATTTTTATTATTATTATTAAAGATTGTCTTTAACCAATTGCATTTGGTTAATTTTTTAATCAGATATTAAGTACTTAAAAGCTAAATTCCAATTGGCAGTCTTATATACATTTATGCTAGGTTTTAGACAATTTACAAAAATAGGCAGTATCAAATGTAGACTGGTAGAAAGGACATGATGTCGTTCCGGCACACTGGGCAGCGATTCTCTAAGTGGAGAAGCAGCTGCTGCGAACACTCCTTGCAGAGGCAGAGGTGGCGGCAGGGCATGATCACGATGTTCCTGCTACGCTCCATGCAGACCACACAGCCTCCGCGATTCGGAGATCCGGCGTTGTCCGGTTCATTCCTTAGGTTCTGCATAACACGCTTCAACTGCTGATCAGTCCAGAGGTAGACGCTTTGCGTCTTTGTTGAGATCTCGATGCGGGCCCGTTGGAGCAGGTAGATGAGCAGCAGGTACACATAACGTCGGAACATATAAAGAATCAGCAGCAGGGACAATCCGATCGACAGCCGGAAAACACTGTTCAGCAGGCTCAGGCCACGGGCCACAATGGAGTGCACCAAAAAGTCCAGGAGGTAGTCCATGATAAAGAGTATGAACCTTGGGAGTAGCATTAACACCCACAAGGTGCCATTCCCCAGTTCGATAAGCAAATTGCAAAAGAACATGGCCAAGGCTTGGCTAAAATCCCGGGCATTTTTCAGGCCACCCTTTGTGCCGCCGTAGAAGTAGTCCGTCACATCCAGCGTAATGAGGCACAGGTCGCAGTAGACCCTATGGATCTCGCTGGCCGCCCATCTCACCAGATTCCATGCCCGGGTGCTGCCCTCCACCAAACAGTAGCCGACGAAGTAGCTGCCCCACAGGAAGTAGTACACGCCGGTAACCACCGCATCGATCAGGATGGCCAGCGGACGCAGCAGGAACTCGTCCACAAACTCCACTACCAGGACTAGAGTGTACAGCATGGCGGGGGGTGCATCCTCTCAAGAAATCAAAATAAACGACTAAAAACAAAATCAAAACAAGAACGCCGGGGAATAAGTGTGGCCAGCCGGTTTTAAAATCGACCTATCGAACTAAAGTTGTGACAAGGTGGCGTCACAAATGGTCTAAAACAACTTTATTTCCTAATTTTAAGCGAATTATAAAAAAATAAATTACTTTAAGACTGTGAGTTCTAATTCCACATTATCTTTCACATAATCAGTCGTGAGGCTTTAATAAGCCGTAAATATATATTAGAGGGATTCATGAATCTAGCCAATACATAAGCTTGCTTCTGTAAAATTCAAATGAATGCAGAATAAAAATATTTAATGTTATATTTATTTATTATTGTGTAATGTTCTGATGTGTATAATCAAAAAACAAGTATTAAGAGATGAAATACGGTTTTGAAACGAAAAAGCCTAAGAAATCCCTAGGGTTAATCTATATATATTTCTGGAATCCCCCTATTATAACATTCCAATAAGATTATTACCGGATGTATAATGAAACAGGATTTGTTTTTTTTATAGTTCAATAATATTTAATAAAAATTAACCGCTGAAAAAAAATGCAGTTGCATTTATGTAGGGCTTTTTTTTGCAGTCAGTGCAATACCATACTTTTTGTTTTTGGGGATGAAACAGTAAAAAAGTTACTGTTGTTGCTGTAGCTGTTTTTCCACCATTGCGAGGACATTTGACAAGTAATCCTTAATTTCCCCTGAAAGCTTAATTACCAAATCAACTAAAATCGATTAAATCTTAAATTTTTTCACAGTTTTTGCATTAAGCCAAAGTTTCTAAGGTCCGAAGGTCCAAGATGGAGGAATCCAATCACGGTATGGCTGGCTGTGAAAACGTATCACAGTTCATGCTTGATGACCTACAATTAGCTGCCGAACTTGGAAAAACTCTATTAGAACGTAATAAGGAACTGGAAACATTTATAAAGGAGTACAAAATCAAGGGAGATGAGCAGGAGCTTGAAATCTTGCATCTTCGCAAGCATATAAATGCGATGACGGAGGTGAATGATTCAAGGCTTAAGGTGTACGAGCAGTTGGAGGTGGGTATTCAAGATCTCGAACGTGCTAATCAGCGGCTTAACATGGAAAAGAATCGAGATAAGAAGCAAATAAAATCGCTGACAACCAATACCGAAGTCTTGGAAGCCCGATGCGAGGAACTCAATCAACTTTTAGGCGATGCCCGACAATCTCTGAGCACCGAACGACGTAAAGTGGATCAATATCAGCAGGAGCGTTATAGAATGCAGCATTCATCCGAGGGTTCCGTTTCCAGCCATAGCATTCAGTCATTATGCAAGGAACAGAATATGGATCTATCCAAGCTGGACGTTATGGCAATGGCAATGGCCAACTCAACGGGTCTGGAGGAGCTCTCCTTTAGTAGTGCCACCATGTGCGAGACGACCGCTGTGAAGGGTGAAGATAACGAGGAGTTGGTAAAGCTACTCAGCGAAATGGAGATCATAAAACGTGATTTTCTGGCAGAACAGCAACGTTGCACCGAATTGGAGGAACAGTTGGTGACCATAATCCAAGACAACCAGGGTCTGCAAAGTCGTCTGCTCGAAAACAGTGCCAACGAGGGAACAATGTCGATGCACGAAGAGTTTTCCCTCCTCGACGACGTGAGACAAGGTCAAATGTGCAGTCGCTGTCTCCGGGATATTAACGAAAGTAATACCAATATGGACGATCAATCCTCCATCGCTCCGACCGAAGAAATCTACGAAGACGACGACCGAAGCATACAATCTTGCAGCGAAAACACCTCGAAGTGCGACAGTGCAGTCGAATATAAAGAACGTTTTCGAATTCCCGATGATCTTAACCCTAATGTCAGCGATAAACCAAATCCGTATCGAGACCTAGTCGAAAAATACGAGGCTTTGGTGGAAGTAAAGAGAACCTCAAATGCGGCCAAGACCAATTTTGCTAACAATTCAGATGGCAAAACTATAACTGAATTAAATCAAAGCAAAAAAACAGAAATAGTTGTTAATAGCTCAAAAGAATCTGACCTTATGTTGGACTCAACTCGTAAACGCACTCCAACCGAATTTTCGGAATCTGAAACTACATCTTCGGGATTCTCGGATGAAACTAGCAATAAGTGCACACAAACCGACGAGCGACCTAGTTTCTTCCTTTGCTCAATTAGTAATGGAAATGATTGTAAATTTAGTATTTATGACGATGTCAGTCCCATTGAATCTCATTTTCGTAATCGTCCGGAGTACAGGGATCTTTTCAAGGAGATTTTTGGAGTGCTCAAGAAAGCTGCTGATAATAACGAAGTAGACAAATTACCGTCCCTGCAAGACGACGCACAGGTTATAGAAAAATTACCATTGGTCCCGGCAAAAGTACCGCCAGTAACACCCGAAAGGGAGGAATCTCCAGATGAATTCATCGATGATACACAAAGCGTCGTATCCTCGATTATATCTAATCAGTCCATAGCAATGTCCGAGTGTGTGACCAAGTTGGAACGCAAAACAGCCAAAAAACACATCTTTGAAGTCCGAAATCAGCAATCGGCTCTTACGCAATCAACACTAATAAGTAACTCTTCTAAGGAAACGACTGTCGGTGAGGCCACTATTAAGCCGATTAAGGAAAATGGACAGGTACTTACTCCACTCAAACGGGAACCCCTCGAATATTTAACAGTAGGTGTCGGAATCAAAAAGAAGAACCGACGAAAGCACCGAAACCAGAGCGCATCTGGTGATCGCATCGAAATATTTAATTCCCGTGAGTTCACACCCAGAAACAGTCCTCTTGCCATGAATAACCGTAGTGGACAAGGAAGCTCAAAGTTGTGTACGGACACATTGAACACGGAATTTAGTCGCAGTAATCGTAGACGGACAACACCTTCTTCAAGCAACTGGAATGGTTCGCCAATGGTAATCTATAATAAAAATATGAATACTCCTCAAACTTCTCGTGGACGTGTTATAGAGCTTAACGGTGTTGAGTTTTATCATAACACGGTATCGCAAGATTTACATAAACTCAAAAAACTAGATCTATCTTATGCTGAAGTACTGCGCCGCGTCGATGCCGGTGATCATATTCCCACAAAATTACATTCCCAGCGACTACAACACAACGGAGCCAACATACGAAAAAATCATCATCAGTATCGTCAAAAGTAATCTTGTTTATAGAATGTAAATAATTAATTATACATTGCATTCTAGCCATAGGGCATTATAAAATTTTTTAAATTGTATGTGCCATGAAGTCTAGTCCGCTTTTTAATGTATAGACAGTTAAATTACAATAACAACTTTACTATTACCGAAAATTTAACTGTATTTCAGCATGATAAAATAAATTATTTAATGACGAAAAGAGTGTTATTTGTTAATAATATTTTACAGCAATGATATTCTAACGAAGCTAGTCCTGACCCCAAACTAGTCCCACATTGCGAATCCAACACCTTGCCAAGCGATAGGAGTGTTAAATTTCATACAAACATTTATTTAAAGCTTACAAGGTACGCAAAGGCGAATAAAATCCTCTCCCTTTCACCATTTGACAGGCTAACTACTTTCAAGACCTCCGTTTGAAATACCCAGTTTGCTAAGCAAACTTATAATCTCGCTGTTAGTTCTCATGACAGCCATAACTTCCTGTTGCTGCTGCTGCATAACCCTCAACCGATTTCGCTCCTCGATCTTGGCCAGCTGGTTATTGTTGTTAATTGTCTTTGTGTCTACATCCAGCTTTAGTTCGGATTTCACGTGATAAAGTTCATCGCGTATGCCATTCAATTTGCGCTCGCAATCTCGCACATCTTTTTCCAGAATTTGTGTTTTAAGATAGACGGTCTGGGCCAACTTGTACCAATCCGCAAGACATTCTGCGATTTGAGCAACTGTCGGGTTCACATTTTCCAAAAGCAAGGCTTTAATGCGCTTGCCATTGTGATCTACTTTAATCTTTTCCAAAGCATGGAACTGCTCATCGTTGTAAGTCAGCGTGCGGGTGGCACGATCTCGTAGCAAGTGCTGCCATGAGTCACGCAGCCGTTCCACCAGATATTTTGCCTGGGCACTAGCCCTGGTCCTGCAGGGACACTTCTTGCCGTGCATAGAGGATGTCCATTGGTCGCTATTTAAAATTATATAAATTTAATAAATATTCACAATACAAATATTTGCTTAGTCTTTTAAACTAACTTGAGTTCGTCGTCTGTGACAAAATGTTTGTGCATTTGTGAAATCACATCGGCAGCTCCATCGAAGTCGCTTTTGACATTTTCCAAGGCGGTCAACAGGGCTTTTAGCTCCTGATCTCCCTTTGTCTAATATATAATCAAAATAGAAGAAATTCTTAATGGGAAGTATTGCCCACTCACCACTCTCGCCATGCTTTGAACCACATCTGCGTAGTCAATCACAGTGGAAAGCAAGTTGTCAAAACTCTCAGTTTTCCTTAAAATAAAATCATTAATGGTTATGAAACAAAAGTGCCAACCTTCAACTCACTTTAAAAGTAGAGTAATTGTGGTTATAAGCATCTCTATGAAATGCTCCACCCCCTTCTTTATAAGTATATCCATGGAGGTGAATATGTCCACGCGTCGTTTGCATTCATGACCAACACTACAAGCGGATTTAGCCAGGCTGGCGTCATTTTCAACAGAAACATTAGGAGGAAACACGGGGAACTTGGGCAGATCCAATTGCTGTGGCAACTGGACATTGTTGTCATCATTGCTGTAGAGAAATATGGGTTGCTCTGTTGTTGTGACAGGGAATGCTTTAGCTGGAAGTGATGGGATGCACACCATTACAATTACATACGTTTTTCATAAGTTTTTGACTTACCTATGGTTCGTGGAGTGACCTTCTTCTCCAGATGCTCGTTATTGAAAAGTAGGATTTGCTTCTCCAGCGGCACTTCAGTCTGAAGAAAAATGCGCTCCCGGAAGTTGTCAATCTGCTCATCGGGCTCAAGAAATACTTCCACCGAACTGGTGCGATTGGTAAAGAACACATGGATGACGCGCTTGCGCAGAATAAGCGTTACCTCGTGGAAGAACCTATCAAAGGACCAGGTTTTCTCCCTGTTCTCCTCCAGCAGTCCAGCTAGCAGAGGTGTCACCAATGTTTTCAATCCCTGCGAAAGATGTGCATGCGGTGGCAGGGTGGTCGACCACTCAATAGGTCCGTTTTCCGACAGTTGAGTGCCAGAAATCACCCCGGAAGCCTTCTTGGTGGTGATTTGATGCATGGTCTCTCGGTTCTTTCTTCCACCAAAAGGTCTAAAAGGGAGATTGCCAGTTGCAACATGGTAAAGAGTAACCCCAATCGACCACAGATCCACATTTGCGGTAAAGGATCGCTGGATGGACTTTCTCAGAACAGCACGTTCGTAGAGATCGGGATGGAGGTACTCCTCCGTACCGTAAAGCGAAGCAAACGGCTGATTATCCTCCAGTTCACGGGCGGCACCAAAGTCAGTCAGTTTATAGATGGTTTGCCCGTCCTCCGAGATGAACTTCATGATGTTTCCAGGCTTGAGATCGCGATGCACCAGCTTGTTATCTCGCAGGTGCTTCATACCGGCGCACAGGTGCTCCAACACCAGCAGGAACTCGTGTTCCGGCAGTCCGTACGAGTTTTCTGGATCATCCAAAATGTTGAACAGACTTCCCCCGGTGCACAGCTCCATCACGATCACCTTCCCACGTCCCTCCTGATCCTCCTCAATGGCCAGCAGCTTCACTATGTTCTCGTGGTTGACCTTCTTCAGAGCCTCGAATTCTCGCATCTGCACATCCGCCGGTCGCATGTGACTGTAGGGATTAAATGTCTTTACCGCCACCGATTCGCCGGTGATCTTGTTGACCCCCTAAAAGTCAAGAAAAGTGGGAAAAGAAAGTGAGTCAGAAGGAAAATTCAGAAGACAGTCGGCCAAACTCACCTGAAAAACGGATCCGGTGGCCCCTTTTCCCAGCACACTGGTTGTGCACCACACATAGCTCACGGAGCCGCGCAGAAAGGACATTTTTGAGCTACTTTCCACCTATTTTTGTTTTATTTTGATTTATTTCCAAGCGCCTGCATCGATAGTGACAAACAAAAGCACTTGCAACGAAGTCTATCGATAACACCAGGCCTCAACCTAAAGGCCGATTACTGTGACTACTTCACCTAATATCTGCTACTTCGATACCTCGCCTATCGCTTGACCGGACCATCTCCAGTTTTTTGTTGTTTTACGTGCGCGTTGACATTTTTGCAGCGCCTTTTAATTTATTATTATTATTTAAACTAACTAATAATGGAGTTGGATACTTGTTAGCCATTAGATCGATTTCGATTTTCAACGAATCCCATGACAAAAGCGCTGGCAGGACAATATACATGTATTTTCGCAAGTCAATGCGAACGCCGTGCCCCGTCGGTTTGCAAAAAAATAAAATAGCCAATTAGGCATTAGCCACGGTTAAGTTAAGTTAAAGCGACTAAAACGATGCACATGCGACTGCATTTGGTGCGCTTTATGTACATAAATCTACTGCTGAGGTGAGAAAAACAGAAGACTGCATAAATCGGGGTTTTCTAAGGGGATTTTCCGATATTGCAGCTGCTGTTTCTGGTTGTACGACAATGTGGCAGCTGCAGATGCACAAACACCAAGTAACAAAGGAGGTGGATCAGCAGAGGGAGCGGGAACTGGAAATGCAGATGCAGCTGGTAAAACCCACTTAAATCCGGAAGAACAGGCGGCGCCACAAAAACCGGACCCTCCGCCCCCGCCACTCGACGAAGGGCTAGTAGGAGCCTTACCCACTTCAAATGAAGAAGGGGTGCCCACTATTAGCTCCCCGGACTCCCGGCCAAAATCTGGGGACACGTCAGTGCCCGTGGAGGTGGAACAGCCCGCGTTATCAACCGCACATCTTGCAAATAGCCATAGTGAATATGTTAGTGAATTCGATTTAGCCGCTGATGATGTCTCCTCATCCACCGCCCAAGTGCCAAATAATCAATTAAATTATAATAATCGTAATAGTGCCGGGAATGTGCATAGTTTTAGTGAATTGCAGCAATTAGAACAACCAAAAGAGCTGGGGCAGGAGCCACAATCGCCGGAGCTTCAGCAACAACAAACGCAGACGGAAGAAAGGTGAGTGGTTTATTGATCTACAGTTGCGGCCAATATATTAGTGGTAATATGTTAAATTTACAGCTGTAAATAATAGAAACGGTTTCAGAATAGTTTTTCGATGATTCAATATAATTTTTTTATGAGTCAATTACTTTAGTTTTTATCTTTCATAACATACACTATTATGGGAGTCTGTATAAGTGAATCAATTTCCAAAACTATAATATTGTTTGTAATAAGAAACCAAAAAGTATAGGGCTTTTATTTGTAAGACATTTCTATTTTATTAACGAAAAATCGTTCTATTCAATTTTATATTTAGACATATATTAACATTTGCAAAACAGTAAACAGTTTAATGAATATTTAAAAAATTCCCCTTTATACTATTTTTACCTATGCCACTTGTAAGCCTATGCGCTTGACATTGGGTGCGTTTGGGTTTTTACTGATAAGTTTTTCTGACCCACTGACGTGCCTTCTATTTGTGTTTCTACGGGAGTATTTCCCGCTGGCGCAATTTTAGTTATCAATACGAAAGTATTTTTCAATTGACGTGAGTTATTTGCTTGAACTTGAACATGAATTATACATGAAAAGCTAATTATACCCGTTACTCGTAGTGTAAAAGGGTATATTGTATTCGTGCAAAAGTATGTAACAGCTAGAAGGAAGCGATTCCGACCCTATAAAGTATATATATTCTTTATCAGGATCACTAGCCGAGTCGATCTAGCCATGTCCGTCTGTCCGTCTGTCTGTCCGTCTGTCTGTCCGTCTGTCTGTCCGTCTGTCTGTCTGTCTGTCTGTCCGTATGAACGCTGAGATCTCGGAAACTATAAAAGCTAGAAGATTGGCATTTTGCATGTAGATTTTAGAAGTTCCTACGCAGCGCAAGTTTGTTTCAAAAAGGTGCCACGCCCCCTTTAACGCCCACAATCGCTTATATACGATTTTAAAAATTTAAATATTTCGGAAAAGTAAAAATGCAGTTTTATTGTGTTTATCAATACCTATCGAAATGTAGAAGAAATTTTTCAAATCGGACCATTCGTTAAAAAGTTATGCGTGATCAAAGTTTCTATCTCCATCTCCCTCGCACTCCCTTTACCTGAGTAACGGGTATCTGATAGTCGGGGCACCCGACTATAGCGTTCTCTCTTGTTTTAATTTACTTTGCCGAAGTGCAGAGAGGAATACAAGAAACTAAGAAAGAAAAATAAAGGGGTTAAAAATGCGAGGCAGATAAAAAAAGATGGCAAAATTTTTATTGCATGGGTGAAATGCAATCTTCCTTTATTTTGATATCTCCTTTGTGCCCAAAATATTGGATTATTATTAAAAAAGCAATATTATTTTTGTTTATTGATAATTAAAAAGGAAATTGAATTTTTTCAATCAACAAAATACTATTGCTTTTACCCGTAAATAATAATAAATTTGTTCAAACGACGTTTAATGTTTACTTCATGACGTTATAGAAAATAGATTTAATTCCCAAGATTTAGCCTTCATATACAAGTTGTGGTCTTATCAGCTGTACTAAAGCTATTCGTTTATTATATAGGGGCTCTGGATTCTCCGACTAACCCTTATCAGGTACTCCGGATTTTTGTTGTCACGTCTTGGGGCTGCGGGCACGATTTAAGTTCGTTCACATGCCGCAACCCATCAACATCTGGGCGAGATCAAAGACGACTTTCACTCATTTGGTCGCTGGCAAGGTCACCGCTGAATGTTTTGCTGGGGGCTTGCTTTTGTTTCCTATAAATAGCACTGTCCAATAATATGATTATCGATGGGCTATTTGATACTATTCGCCGGCTACGTGGCGAATATTGTCAGTTGTGATTTTTGAAATATTCTCAGGCATTTCCCGGAGTACTGTTTACTTACTTGCACGCGACATCGCTACGTCGTTAATCTTTGTCACTGCAAATGCACTTAAAATTGCTGATAATTGTTTTGCTCGGCAGCCACAGGGTATGGTGTATGTGTTTCTCGTACGCTATACATGCATGGTATAGTATAACATAGTATACCAACCGCATGCATTTGTTTACGATTCATTGATAGAATTTTACCCCCGCAAGTTTATATTGATTAAGTGCTGTAATTGCTACGTAACTGACGTTTATTTTTAGACGTTCGCTGGCGCCATTAGGTAATCGTATCTAGTTCTAGATTTAATTGCTTTAGTTTGGTTTTATGTGCATCCACATTGCTCCTATGAACTTGTCTTTGAAAGGTGTTAACAGTTTAATTATATTTGCTGAAGTAATTATCTTTATAGAATGACTTAAATATTTCGCTAATGTCAATTTCTAGAAAATAAGCGCCAAAAATATCAATTATTTTTCATCTATGAATATTTTGTGGTAAATAATTTTTAGTTTTAAACTGAAAACACGTGTGGAATTTTGCATTTTAAAACCCATTTTTTGCTTTGCATAAAGATGAGAAAAGCAGTTCGGCTATCTCAAAGTCAAGTCGGTTCAGATTTTAAATTAAATCCAAAACACGAATTTATGCCAAAACACACAAAGTATTTGTAAACGATTGTTTTTTTCTACTAATACATTTTCTAAAGTTATTCAGCTCTCCAACTTCCTAGAAATAATTTTCCGTTTTAATTTGGCATATCTTCTGACTTCATTAAGTTTTAATGAATTGTTAATAAACTAAAAAGGCTTTGGTTCTTAATTTTTTTTTAAACTCTAGAATAGAGGAACCTACTAAAATTAGTTTTTATACTCACGATACTTAAAACATAATAAATTAATCAAAATTAACTACTGCTTAAATAAATGTCGATTTATATAACCGCCGACAATTTCTAGAAATTCCTTTCGCCAATTTAAGTGCTTATATAGCCCTGGGGTTATTAGGTTTTAGCAGTTAAGCCGACATGTGGTAAAATATTTTAAATAATAACTCATTGCGGGCATTTCGTAACCGGGGGCCAAACTATATGCGAATTTTATATGAAACTGTCTCTGTCCAGACGTGATCGCCCAGTGCCCGAACCCAACGCCATTTCCATACCGATTCCAATCCAGCGCAGTTGCAGTTGCAGCTCCAGCTTCAGCTTCGGCTATCACCCACGCGTTGTCTTGTCACAATGCCTTTTGCCGGTAATTTGCTTTACAGTTTTTCAATTTATTTTCCCCACCGCCTCCTTGGCGTGAGTTTACTTTCTAAATGCCTCCTCCGTCAGTCAGTCTGGGCCTATCTTTGGTGGCCGGCCATTTCATTCATCCCAAAAAGTATAAAAAAAATGAACTTCGGTTTACGATTTGCAGGCACTGTGGGTGCAACAAGTGCCAATGAAAATAATATAAAACAAAAGTATTCAATTTTCGGACTTAAGTACTCGGCACTGTTTTCCCATTTCTTTACTCTCTACCAATTGATTATAGTAGCTCTTAAAAAACACCATTGCTCGTAAAATTTTTTGTAGAAACAATGATTTCTTTGAAAGGAAAACGTTTATTATAAACACAAAAAGGGCAATGCTAAAGAAAATTAAAACTTGGTTAAACACCAATAAGAAAAAGCATAATTTTTATTTTTTATTTTGAATACATTTTGTATATTACAAATTTTTGAAAACAAACAATAAACACCTGGCTTACCCACCGTTACGAGGTATCAAATCAGCAACGTTTATTCGCAGATCCTTTAAAGGCATCGTTGAACATATTACCATATCGTTGGCGACTCGATTTTAGTGCGCTGCTTTATCGAGGGTGGTAAAAGTGTTAAATGGGATCGAATCAAAGCTGGCTTCGATTTGATGTCATGTTTGTGTCTGGCTGGTCCCATAAATGGCTTTATCAGTACGAAATTTACTTTCATTTTTTGCATTTTCCTCGAACAATTTTCGCCAGCGCCTCCTGACAGACATAAATAAATTTTTCCAGCCGCGTCGGTAGCACGCAGCCGACAGAATCAAAATCCATTTCGGCCTTCCAGACATTTCACACATTTGCTGTTAGAGACTGTATATATGTAGTTTGTGTGTAGTATCCGAGTATCTGTCAGGTGATCGGCGAGCGAATCTTTCGCTGGTCGGGGAATTACTTTCACTTTCGATGCAAAGGACTCCTCAAGGAGACTTTACAATTTGGGCTTTCAAATGCATCATGAGCTTGTTTAGCGTAATCAAACTTGGCAAAAAGCTATTATCATGTGTATATGTAAAATAAACCGCAGTTGCACAAGAAAAAATGTTTAAGAGTATTTATTTTATTGTTTTCATTTTATTATTACTTTTTTAATTTAAACGTCTTTATGACGTTTATAAAACATTGGAATTTTTTTTCAATAATGTTTTGATTAATGTTCAAGATTTATTTGAAAATTTGAATACTTTAAATTTCATTATCCGTTTGTGTAAATTAATAACAGGGAAGACAAGAGTGGTAGTTCGTTGGTCTTATAAAAAAAAGTTTACTCATGATGGCTATCTATTAAAAATGCTTTACAATAAAGCAGGCTCTATACAATCTATTTATCAAATAAAAAATTTAGTTATCAAACACCAAATATTATAGAAATTAAGAGAATTTTTATATTTATAAACCAGAAAAAAAAGGAATTACATATATAATTCCAAATCGATACATATTTTTAATTTTAAAGCCCTGATTCCAAAACGATCTTTCTTTTCTTCGCGTGTCCCATGGACTTGCCCATTAAATTCACAGATCGTTAACGGCGATCAGCCAATTGGCACTTATGCAAATGTCTCGGACTTACAACTCCACAGGATTATTTTATATACGTAGATATAAACTAACCCCGATCTGCTGTCAATGATCGCTCAACGAGCGGCATGAACGATCCTCTCCCACGACGGAATGAAATGATCGATCTTATCGCCTCGCCTCAATGTCCGAATACTTAATTGATTGTGAGCGTGCGCCCATTGACTTTCGTCAATCAATTTCGATCGCTGATCGTTGATCGCCAGGTGATCGCCGATTACTGATCTCGTCCAACTGCATCGATTAAGC